TCGCAGCATTGTATTCGCTATATCTTCAACAACAGCGCGCCGAGGAGGGAATCCTTGCTTCGATAAATAGAGAATCTTCTCGACTATGAGCTGCTCTTCATTATTGTTGAGTTTACGCGAGTTCGCAAGGGTTTGCGCGCGTGGGTGGATGCCGAGGTGTCTTTCGCGGAGGGTTTCAAATGGAACGTCGTATGCATTTGCTGCAGCTCGAAGAGATGGAACTTGGTGGGTAATATATGCTTGAAGGGCTAAAGAAAGTCTTCCCTCAGTTTGAGAGAGCATTGTAGGCAAATATTGTCATATAATAAGAGGAAGAAGCTCGAAGACGCGTTGTGGGCGCGTTTTGACCGGCTCGGTGGTGTGACCGGCTCGGTGGTAGGGTACGTTATAGACTATTACGTAATAACCTAAAAGGCTTCGTCTACTTATATTTAGTTAACGGAGACGAAGTTATAGTTTATAAAAGCTGCGACGGCGGTTCCGCGTCCCGAATCGGGCGCACCGTTTTGGGCGTGGATTGCTCTCCCCGGGGAGCTCCGCCCCAATCCTGTTCCACTGCACATCACCACTCCGCGACGTCCGGCGTGCTGCGTAAGCATTCTAGCATCCTCCTGATTTCGCAGCATGGGATGTCACGGCCGGCTCATGAGCCGTTGAGACGTCGACCCACAACGTCGAGGCCGTCTCCCAGCGCGAGCCTGCTCGATCGGACGAGATCCTGCACGACACATTCAAGCACGAGATATTACGAACGCAGCGCTGAGCGCGCTCAGCGGGCCAGCAGAGCAGATAGGAGAGAGGCGACCGCGAGATCTGTCGTCTGTGCCTACGTGGCGTACCTTTCGTTCTCTCGACGAGCGGAGGACGCTCGCCAGCGACTCCGACACAGCGTGAGCGCACTGTTGCAGGTTCGCCCTGCCTGCTCTGCCACAGGCTCGACACGAGAAAATTCTCGCGGACGGATCTGGACGATGTTCGACTGACGACTCAGCTCCTCGCCATGTTGCCTCATCTGGCCGCTCGATGTCTCGATTCGAACAGCACGCCTCAACGTCCCAATTCATGCTAGCACGGCCATCGGCGCTGTAGTTCAGTGCTGCAGCTGGCTAGACACCGACCGTATGAAAGAGCTGAGGGGGCGTGCAGGGGGCGTATGCATGCGGTGAAGTCCGGCATCGCTGCTTCTCCACAAGTTCGATAGCGGTTGCTTCGGGCGAAGTCCCCTTCGTACCCAACGATTTGTGGCCGTTTCCTCTTGCAGGCCATACTGCCATTGCGGCAGCATGAAGCATTAGTGCGCGGTGCGGCGGTGAAGGTGTCATCAACTAGACTTCCAGGGGGCTGCGCAGATGTGGAGCCAAAGGATGAGCCCTTGCGTGACAAACACGCGCTGGCAGCCTGACACGTACTGGCCTTCTGATCAGGGTACCATCCCGAGCGGCGTGCGCAGAAAAGGTTCACCGGTGTTGCATCACTCCCCTGCGGTTTGGCTGCGCCCCCAACAAGACTCGGCGAGCGCCGCGATGGAGTCGAGATACGGTCAATGGTTGATAGCTGCCCAGGTCCTCCGTTGTGGATGCAGTGATTGGCTGGTCAACACCGGGCTTCGGGTCTGAGAGATGGACCAACACCATGCCTGACTCACTTGCAGCCATTCCCGCAGAATCGATAATTGGCTTACAGGGGCCCGATATAGCATTGCACATTCCAAATACAGCTCCTGCATTGCCAAGTTCGGGGATGGTGTGGCCGCGAAAGTCTGAGGCGTCCGAGGATCGAGTAGGCAGACGTGCGAGCGTGGGCTCAGCTGGCCCCTTGTCCGAGATCGCTACTACCGCTCACGATGCGGAATTTGGGGGTCTCATCGAGGCCCCGTTCAGTCATAATCTCGTCGCGCTGCTGCCCTCAAATTTATTATCCCCATCACTTCCGACCAGCATGCCTTCACAAGCTTCTCCGGGCCTGACGATGTTCGCGACAGAACAAGTGCGCAACGACCTGACTATTCATTTCTACGATCCCCACGCCAACAAGACCCCTCGATCGCAGACGCCTCGCCCGCCTCCAGTACGACCACCGCTTGATATTGCAAGGAGAGCTCACGAGTCCAACGCGGACGTTCAGAATGGTGAGCTGAGAGTTGTGCACCTCTGCAAAGAGCATCGCTGATGTCAAATTCCTGATCTTACAGGTCAACATGCAGGGGCTCGTGAGGATGAGCTTGAGCTCGCCGCTGGCAGAACGTCAGTCGCGGCAGTGCCACAGCGATGTGATGACTGCGAAGGCGGAAGTGCCTCGTCCATGCCGTGCATTCCAATGGAAACTGCCCATACTCTCGCACCACTCACGACCACTGTGAGCTCACAGTCTGAAGAGCAGGACAGGTCACACCACTCACCGTCACAGGTGTCTGTGCCGAAGAGTCCGATTCCTGGATGGCGTTGTTGGACAAGCGGTGACACTTCTCGCATATCGTCTGTGCAGGCGACAACCCCCGTCAGCAGCATCTCGCGCAGTGCCGATGAAGTGGATTGCGGACTGGGAAATGTCGATAAAGACAGAAGCAACAGCATCAGCGATTCACGACAGCTCCACTCGCAGCCTACCTCTGATGAAGAGAGCAACGAAGAAGCGTGGTCTGGCGTGTTTCAGGAAGAGACCGACACTGGTTGTGTTGCAAGTCAGAGTGGACCGCTGCACACCTTACTTACGACGACCCTGGGAGCAGAATGTGTCCCGGTTCTGAGTCACGCACTTGAACAGTCCTCTTCGGTCCCTCTTCGAGAGATCAGTCTTGGAATCAACTGCTCAGAGAAGGGGCGTCTGTCTTCAAATCGGGCCAGATCTGTCTCCAGTGAGGACGAGGAGGACGAGATGCCCCGCAGGAAACGGAGGCAACGCTCATCACAGCTTATGACTAACATCCCGAAGAGGCGACGACAGCCGCAAGATGAACGCCATGACATCATGAAGAAACGGCGTCCTTGCAAGCATCGGGATTCGCATTCGCAGAACGCAGACTACACACGTTCCTCCAGCCGCTGCTCATCTGCATCGCCATTGGACACAACGCCAATCAGTCCGCGCACATGCTCACACGACGAGCCGACTTGGCAGGTCAAACGGATCGTCGGGCGAAGTCGCGGATTTCTCGGAGAAACGATATATTTGGTAGAGTGGAAGCGCACGTGGGAGCCCGTGTCTGGGCTGAGCGGTTGTGCTGACGCCATCGCCGAGTATGAAGAATCGCAAGCACGGCGCACTATCGCTGCCAGCCAGATCAATCACATGTAGCACAGCGGGCCCGGCGATCTCTGGTGATGCTACTCGATAAATCTCACGTAGCATTGGACACTTGAAGCATAATCCGGACGACACGTGACATCGGCGTGAGCGACACCAATCACTATCCATTTCGTAATATGTATGTTAAAAATTGACACCAAAAGTGCAACCCTTGTTTCATCATTTTGGCTTTCAAAGGGGTCCTATTGGAAATGGGACGCCAGTGGACTGTAATCCTTGTCGTCACCGACGGCGATGCTGGGGTATCGAATCTGCAAGGGCATCGAGGAATTGATCCATCTTGTACAATCCAGCGACCGAGCCGCTCACCGTCTCATGCGAGTACATATTAAGACAGTGTGTGAATTCCCACTGTACCGTGCAGGGTTGTCGTGTAAGATACATACGCTTCCACGAGCCAGCATCGAAGTGCCCCGGCGACCCCCAGCGTCGTGAAATCATCTCCATCTTGACACTGAGTACTGGCAGACCCTGCAATTTCGCGTTCGTTATTTCTGCGGATTTGATTTGTAATACCTTGCGGCCTCCTCGGTCGCAATACCGCAAGCGATCGAGCGCATCATCAAACCACAGCCGGATGCACTTGTAAAATTGCTCATGTTTCATTGTGGGATTCAACATGACAGAACTTGATGCTAGAGCGTTCGTCCCTGGTACGAAGAATAGCGAAGACTGGATCGGAATGGACCCAAGAATGGCCAATCGGAAAGTCTTGCTTACGCGAATGTAGCGCAATATGTCTTTGTAAGGCAGCTGAAGCAAAATCATCTCCAGGAGCTCCGTCGTGTCTGTCAGCTGTCGGCCTGCACTTACTTTCGGCACTTTGGGACTGCGATGCTTTGGAACCGCCGACACACGTTTCAGTTCCTTGAGTTCCTCGAGAATCGATGCTTGATTCTCCTGCAGGTTGCTGATCTGCTGTATGAGTTCCTTCTGATTGAGTTGCAGATCTTCCAGCACGTCCAGCACATCCTTATCCAAACGGCGCGTAGAGAGGGACGAATGGACGGAACTAGCTGTGTCCGCACTCGTCGAAGATGATTCCATTTCCGCCATTTGTGCAAAGCGGGTACTGAATATCAGTCAAGTTGATCGATAGCTGATTGATAGCTAGCAGGCGTGGCACAAACCCATGCTATGTCATAGATGCACCTGCTCTGGAAATTAGAGACAGGCGAGCGCCTGCGATAAGGCAAGTATTAGTGGATGCGTGCGTCCTGGAGCATGCTACAAATTTCAAGCAACTTTGTCACGCCTGAGGACGGCACACATCACGATCCACAAGCTAACTTATAACATCATCGTCCTTAGTTAATAGAATAATGCAGTGACTGGAAATGACAAAAGAATGCTTTGGTCTCAGATATGTGTTCCGGTGAAAAGAAGAGTTCGTGCATGGGTCGAACCTGGATTCGGCCGGGCTGTCGCAATCTTCGCAACATTACAATATTTGACGGGATGCCTTGTCTAAGCTGGATGACCAGATCAGACGTGAGCTTCGGAGGTGCCACTTTCTACTGACGCATCCAATCACTTGGCACTGAGGCACCACGAAGTACTAAGAATCTGGTCTGTCTCATTTGTATCTCCCCGCTTAGGGATGTCTTCTTTGTTCGGGGGCACCTTTAGCGGAAGCAGCAGGACCGGCGCCTCTTCTTGGATTCTACTCGAGGAGAAACTCAACTCGGCTAGGATGTTTGTTTCTAGCTGCAGATATGACTAGGCGGCAATAACAATTAGGACATAGCGGGAGTCTTGAATCCTGACTTGACCTTTGTCGTCATCCTTGAGCACCTCTCTAGGTTTGAGCTAATAGATGTCTCTATAGAGCTTGTGGCGGTCTAACAAGCCTAAAACAGCACGTCCCGCCATCTGAAACCAACTTATGCTCTCCTTGACGCGCGCTAATTGTCCTTCGAAAAGTCTAGCAAGACGGAAGATCTGAGCGTGAAGGAGATCATATCCGTCCACTTGGTCCCCGATCATCTGCGTCGCCTTGGCGTAATATGACAAACAAGCCGGCGCTTAAATCTTGTCCTGTCATGTCCATCACAGCGAATCTATTCATAGTAATCCGATGTACATGAATTCAGCCCGTCTGTCACTGAAGCGGTCGTCGAGTCGGTCGATCCTCTTACCACCAATAGTGCATCAGGATGGCAGGCGATAAGGTAGAAGCTATCGGTATTGCTTTCGAATGTCCGTGAAAACTTATTTAAGTTAGTCCACATACGAGTGATGAGTGGCAGCAACGAAGCGCCGCAAAGTGTTGTTTCCTGCCCGTACGTGAAACGCGTCCGCAGTTGCGGCACAGTGAGTGTGGGCGGTTACAATGGGCGCGTATATGTGGATCGAAATGAAATCAATCAATTCGAACTAGTGTAAGGACGTTTTAGGACGAATGATAGCCTATATATTCCAGGTCTGCCGATGGGTTTGCAAGGCCATTAGGTGAGACTAAACCTCGAAACAAATTCGATCTCGACTCCTTCAAACACGAGACCCGGACAAACATCCTTTTCTGATCACTTCGCCCACAAATCCAAGCCATGCCGAAACTGCGAGGAGCAGTAAACCACTGTGGTCTACGGAGCCGACCATTTACACAGGTAATTTGCACGATAGTATGCTACCACTTTGCGTGTCTATATCCGTTGCCCGACAGTCCTCCCGGACACTCTTACACAACGAGACCCGGTGCAAGGGGCGGAGGTCGTCTTTAAGTAGTCCTAGAGCAAAGGCGAACGAAAGAAGAAGAGGAAATAGAAAGCACATGTTCGGAGCACTGCTACGATACATGCACGAAGAGGACTGTCTACAGATTCTACACGGACTTGACGCCGCCCTTCGAATGAAATTCCCTCGCTTCTAATGTGTGGGTCGTCTCAAGCAATTGACTTATCCACTGCCTGGCCGTGAAATCGTTGATCAAGAGCTCTCCACGAAGAGTCCCCAGAGTGCGGGGAACGTCCAGAAAGTCGTGAGTCGCGCATGCTGAAAATGCACCATCGTCTTGATCAATGCTACTGGTAGAGTTTTGAAAACACGGCTCGCACAGATCGACATCCGGACAGCACTTGCACACTAGATGTCTGTCGCCCGGTCCCAGGTTCTTACCGCAGGCGTCGCATCCGGGCCCATCTTGCGAGCTCCTGTAAAATTGGAAGGCAGTAATTGCATGCTCGCGGTCGTCTATCCACATCAGAATCCTACCGACAATGCCCATTTTATGCTGAAGCAGGCGTTCGCAACAAGCAAACAGCCGGCTAAGCTTTTCTAGTGTGAACCGGGCGCCATTCGATGCGTAGGGCGTGAATGCTTGGGGAAGGCGCAATTTTCTTGCATTCACATGAGTGAAATGTATAAAGGCTTCCGTCTTGTAAAGTGAGAGCAGATTTGTAGCCGTTCGAAGCGTATCCGCATGATCCGGTCCCCGTGCCTTCTCGTACCCGCATAGCGCCCGCATGCACATCTCCTCCGCCTCCGCCATCTTGCCTTGACTCTTGTACAGAATGCCGAGATTGTTGACCGTGTCCAGCGTCGACGTGTGCTCCGCGCCCCAT